ACTTACGCGACTCTGGGATTTGTAGTCTTTCTAGTTGCATATTTTTCACAGTCTTATATTTCAACAGTTTTACGACAAACTGTGACTTTTTTGACATGGAAATACTTTTTTAAGATTGACAAACATCACATGTGTAATTCGTGGCACAATTCAAACGGGATCGAAAGATGAGTTTTCTCTCTCCATTGACTTCAATACATAATTTTTCCGAAATAAGGTCCCATGGACCGGAAGTAGATGGGCGTGACTTCGCCACTCTATTGAGTAAATAGTGCTGGAAGATGGAAGCGATTCATTTTCCAATTTTGAATAATCATAAGTGAGCAGAACGTGGTAATAGTCGTGTCCAGCCTGTGTCTTCATCTCTGAATCAGCAGCTGAGTATGCAAGAAGATACTGCCAGCACAATAAAAATTACATGAACGCCGACCATAATGACATACCATGGAGACATTTCAGCTTTACATGTGGGCTTTCACAAGTTGCATTGTATTACCTCATTTACTGTTAAGGTCAGACTGAAGGTCGTCGTGTAGTGAAAGGACAGATTAAGTCGGTCCTCATCAGAATCTTCAAGCTGTGGCCAGGCATCAGCACATTTTCAATTTTCTCATTATTAATATAGCACTCGATTACTTATGATAATAACTTACAGTAATAATAATATATTTTATTTCTATAGCGCTTTTCTTGAATCCAAAGACGCTTTACATTTGGGAGGGAGGGTAGACAAACAAAACAAAAACAAAGCCAAAAAGAAACAAAACAAAACAGAAAAGCAGTCAGGAGGAAGTTGATTGAAAGGGGGGGGGGGGGCTTATGGATACAGAGTTGAAGAGGTGGGTTTTGAGGCGGGACTGGAACAGGGTGAGGAACTCAGACTCACGGAGGTATTTGGGGAGGGAGTTCCAGAGCTTCGGGGCTGCCACAGAGAAGGCTCTATCCCCGAAGCTCTGGAGTTTGGCCTTGGGGATGGAAAGCAAACTGGCTGAGGTGGATCTGAGGGACCGGGGTGGTCAGTGAGGTAGGGGGGGGGGCCAGATGGTGGAGGGCTTTGAAAGTGAGGACCAGGAGTTTGTAGTGGATGCGGTGTGAAACGGGGAGCCAGTGGAGTTCTTTGAGGACCGGGGTGATGTGATGCCATGATTTGGTGTGGGTGAGGAGTCTGGCGGCTGCGTTCTGGACACGCTGGAGTCTATTGAGGGATGTAGTGCTGATGCCGTAGAGCAGTGATTCTCAAACTTTTTTCAATCATGTACCCCCTTTGAAAAAAAAAATTCTGCCAAGTACCCCCTGATCAGCGCAAAAACTATTTGTTAGGGGAAAAATGCCTATATAAAGAGGGACAGTACAGCGCTGCACCATCAGTGCCTGATTTATTAAAACAACAACCTTGTAACTGAGAAACACTTAAATGCTACATTTCAAATGTTTAGAATCCATCACTAAATTCATGGCAAACCAATTTTAACATTATGCAATAAGAAGACATTAGTTGCATTGAACTGATCTTTAAGTTGTACTTACAATTTAGTGAGAAACATGGGCTTGTGCTTCACTGAGGATCTTTGTCATTCTGACAGGGAGGCACCTGCAGTTATTACACTTGGTGTTTTGAAATATGTGTAACTCTAGTCTATTAATATAAAACCCACACTGCTCAAACTTCGTTACTTTTCCTAAAATTGGTATATTTATCTTTTTTCTTTTTACATTAACATAAAATAAATCTCAAGTACCCCCTGCAGTACTCCAACGTACCCCTAGGGGTCCGCGTACCCCCATTTGAGAACCACTGCCGTAGAGGAGTGAGTTGCAATAGTCAAGGCGGGAGGAGATGAAGGCGTGAATGAGTCGCTCAGCTGCAGGGCGGGTGAGAGAGGGACGGAGTTTGGCAATATTGCGGAGGTGGAAAAATGAGGTTTTTATAACTTGACGGATGTGGGGCTCGAGGGAGAGGGTGGGGTCAAATATAACGCCAAGGTTGCGTGCCTGGGTGGAGGGGGAAACAGGGGTGCCATCAATGGTGACTGTCCGTTTGGGGGTTTTGCTGAGGGTGAATTTGGAGCCGATGAGGAGGAGTTCAGTTTTATTGCTGTTGAGTTTGAGGAAGTTGTGTTGCATCCAGGATTTTATTGCAGTCACACAGGATTTGATGTGGGTGAGGGGGGGGGTTGTTGGGGGATTTGGTGCTGAGGTAAATCTGGGTGTCGTCGGCGTAACAGTGAAAGTTCAGGTTGTATTGGCGGAGAATCTGACCAAGGGGGAGGATGTAGATGATGAAGAGGAGGGGGCCGAGTGGTTGTTGAGGGAGATGAAGTGGGAGCTGTCGGAGAGGTAGGACTGGAGCCATCTGAGTGCAGTACCTTCGATACCGATGTCCTGGAGTCGGGTAAGCAGGATGGTGTGGCTCACGGTATCGAAGGCTGCACTCAGGTCGAGGAGGATGAGGATGTTGAGGGAACTGGTGTCAGCAGAGGTGAGGAGGTCATTGAGGACTTTGATGAGGGCCGTTTCTGTGCTGTGGTGGGGACGAAAACCAGACTGAAGGGGTTCAAAAAGCTGGTTGGTTTGGAGATGGCGGTGGAGTTGTTTGGAGATAATGCGTTCTATTGTTTTTGAGAGAAAGGGGAGGTTGGAGATGGGACGGTAATTACTGAGGGAGGAGGGATCCAGACCGGGTTTCTTGAGGATGGGAGTGACAGCAGCAGTTTTGAAGGCAGAGGGAACGGTTCCTTGGAGTTGAAAAGGTTGACAAGGTAGGGGCAGAGGACGGGGAGACAGGACTTCAGTAGAGGGGTGGGTAGAGGGTCAAGCGAGCAGGTTGTGGGTTTGGAGGAGCTGATCAGTTTGAGTATTTCAGGGGGGGTAACCAGAGTGAACTGGGAGAGGCGGCCGTGGGGAGGAGGGCTCGGGAGGTCCAGGGAGATGGGGGGAGAAATTGTGGAGGTGGATGCTGGGGGAGATGTATGTGTGTCAGATGCAGCGGATAGGGAGAGATTAATGGCAGTGATTTTGTCAGAGAAAAACTGGAGGAATGAACTACATAAAGTGGAAGTGGAGGAAGGGAGGGTGTCAGCACGGGGTTTGAGGAGCTTGTTGACGGTGGAGAAGAGGGTCCTGGGGTTATGGGAGGGGTCGGTAAAGATGGTGGAGAGGTAAGCAGTTTTTGCGGCAGTGAGGGCGTCTCTGTAGGTAGTGAGATGGAGTTTGTAGGATTCATGGTGAACTGTGAGGGATGATTTCTTGGTTAGGCGTTCAAGCTGGCGGCCGGTTTGCTTCAGCTTACGGAGTGCAGGGGTGAACCAGGGTGAGGAGGTTTTAAAAGTGACATTTTTCCTTTTGAGGGGGGCCAGGCTGTTGAGGGAGGCGAGTAGGGTGGAATTAAGGTGGTTGAGTTGTTCATCGGGTGAGCTGAGGTTCGAGTCCAGGGGGAGAGTAGAGGATAGCAGGTCGGAGAGGTGCTGGGGATCGACAGAGCGTAAATTACGGAAGGTGATGTTCCTGGATGGGGGGGGGGGGGTGGCGGACGGGGGAGGCGATGGTGAACTGTATGAGTTTGTGGTCAGAGAGGGGAAAGGGGCAGGGGTGGAGGTCGAGTACTGGGAGGTTGGTGGAGCAGACAAGGTCAAGGATGTGTCCTTTATCATGTGTGGGGAAGGTGACACATTGGGTAATTGAGAAATTGTCCAGAAGGGAGGAGAATTCAGAAGCGAGTTTGCAGGTGGGGGAGTCCATGTGGATGTTGAGGTCGCCGAGGAGTAACAGACGTGGGGAGAGGGATGAAGCAATGGTGAGGAGTTCAGTGAGATCAGAGAGGAAGGAGGGGTGTGGTTTGGGGGGGCGGTAAATGAGGATAACTGTCAGTGAGGGAGGGGCTTTGAAGGCGAGGAATTTGAAGGATGGTACTGAGGGGAGGGTGAGTTCTGTAGTCCGGACGTTGTGGTTGTAGATGACAGCCAGCCCACCACCACGGCGTGAGGGGCGGGGTTTAGTGATGTAATTAAAACCAGGGGGGGATGTTTGGTACAGTATGGCTTTCATCACATTCAAATATTAAGAGTAATCTCTGGCCTTAATGACTCAGACGGGTGGTGCCCTGTGTGCCAAAGCTTGGTGTGGATAATTAATCAAATTTTAGCGTGTGAGTGAGAAGTAGTGGACAGCGCTGACATCTTCCCTTAGTGAGGGTGTTGACGGCTGCGTCAGTTTGACATATTGTTATCTCCTTTTTGGTCCCTGTCCCTCACTCACTCCTCCATCTTACCCTTCTCCTTCCCTCGCTCAGCCTCTCCTATCATAATATGCTTGCACCTGTGTTTCTTGCCATGATCTGATACCTGTATCTAGTAGGGCTGCACGATATATCGTGTCGTGACGATAATCGCAATATGCGCATGCGCGATATTCACATCGCAGGACGTGCGATTTTTAAAACAAAAAATAAAAGAGTACTTGTGATATTAAATAGGCAAATTAACTCAAACACGTCATGTTACAATTATTTTGCTTCTTGCTACAAAAGGAAAACTTGTGCGGCTCTCATGTCAGGGGTACTTGAGTGAGTGACATGCAGGCTCTGCATGCACAGCAAACCACCAATCACAATCAAATCTCCAAAGCAAACGGTGATTAAAGGTAAAAACACTGAATAAAGTTGTTTCATGTGTTTCTCCAGGGCAGTTCGGCGCTGCTAACCGAGCTAGCTCAGCTTGTTGCTCTGATAACTTAAGATCCAGATGTCCGTGACTAAAATCCTTCATCCGGTTAAATATAGTTGAAAAAATACCAATTGTATAGCATTAAAGTTCAAGAAAGGATGGTTTGCGAAAAAAAACAACTGTATTTTCTTCAATTCCTGTATGTTTTCATATCGCAATATATATCGCAGGGGGGGGGGGGAAATCGCAATGTCAGTTTTTTCCAATATCGTGCATCTAGAGAAGCACCTGTGATAATGAAATTATCTTTGATTCATCTCTGTTTCTCTCTCTCTCCAGCAGTGGATGCGGTGCCGGTACAGAAAGATGGGGATCAGGTAAACATTGTATTATCTTTTTTTTCTTCCTATTGTCTCATTTCTGCACATCTCAATCTTTTTTCCCATTTTGTTGAAAGCCACTGTGACATCATTCAAAACACAGCAGGGCTGGTGTCCTCAGCTCTCCTCTTTATGTCGGAACAGACCGCAGACAGAGAAATGGAGATGTGTGATTGTGTTTTTTTTGTCGCCTCAAATCTGTATGGAGGTGATAAAAAGGAGAGCTGTTACTCACCCAGAATGCCCTCCTGCTGTTTGACGGCCAGGCCTCTGCCTCATGAAAGGTCGCCCAGATCTAAACTCTGGAAAATAATAAATTATTCACTTTGTATTATTTTATTTTTCACAGACAGCGTGTGCAGGTGTGTATCATTTTACTGCAGAACAGTACAGAACATATACAAACAGTGAGAGGGTTTCATTGTTTTGCCTCTGCCCTTCAATTCCACCAATTTGCTAAATCAAAGTCTGTTTAAAAGTACTACTGCACATGTGAAGACAAGTATTAAAACGCCTTCCATGTCTCCAGAGGTGGCTGTGTGATTATATATTGATATCTATTTTATATATAATATGATACATTGCGTTATGTGACATGACATGAGTCAGCGTCGTTTAAGGGTGAAGAAGACAAATTCTAAATTGAGAGAAATCTGTGGTTGTGGAATTAGAAATTATTCAGAAAAAAAAGATATTCATAATTATTAGCATAACCCGACAATCTGACTGAACTGCAGTCATTGTGGGTAATGTAGGGAAAGTAAGGAAGGAGGAGGCTTGAAATAAAAATGACGTTGGTTTCGGCTGTATGTAGTAATGTTCTTTTTTTCCTTTTTAAACTTACCATCAATTCAACTAAGGATGTGAAGGATGCTCAGACCTTTGTATTAACAGGGTAATGCCCAATTTTATGAAAATGCACCAGGACAATCTTCCCTACATAGACTTGAAGCCAAAGTGTTTCAGGTCAGACAGCGGGTGTACGGATCAGGAGTGGTGGGCACACACACGGTGTGGCTTCAACTCACTTTTATTTTCAATATTGAGTAATCTTAATATTGACATTTGGTCAATAACATGTATTTTTAGATTATAATAAACAGATATTGCATATGTCAGAGGCAGATGATTAATTATTATTTATCATCATTGAGTAATTATTAAAACAGTTGGTCGTTTTCTGTAGCTCAATAAACTGATAAGGGTGTATTTGCTGAGTTATTCTTATCTTAAGAAGTAGTAATGTATCACATATTAACCTTACTTTCCTACTAAATGAGTATGGTGGTTAACCATTCAAAAGTTGTATTGTCCCATGAAAATGTAAATGCTTTTTTGGAGGACTTTTAAACCACATAGCAGAATGTTATTTACAAATGCTGAATATGTCTCAATATCCTCTCAAATCGTATATCTGTATCAGGCTTCAGAAAGGTTATATTAGCCAAACCTTTGTGTACTCCTGTGTGTATGCCTGCACTCTCATGAATGGTTGTGCGTGCGTCTGGTGCGTGTGTGTGTGTGCTGTGTGTGTGCTGTGTGTGTGTGTGTGTGTGTGTGTGTGTGTGTGTGTGTGTGTGTGTGTGTGTGTGTGTGTGTGTGTGTGTGTGTGTGTGTGTGTGTGTGTGTGGATAGTCTCTTACCAAGGCCACAGAGCTGCTCTCCCCAGGGCTCAGACTATTACTGAGCCATGTATCACTTCTCAGCTGTGGGCCCTGGGGAGAGAGAGGGAGAAAGACAAAAACACAGACATCCATCTTATTGTCTCTCCATCACTGGCAGCTGCTTTCTCTTCTTTTGTAATTTTTCCTCATACACAAGGGTTGGAAGGCCAACATGCACCTGTAGTTTTATAACTTATATATATTATTAAGGTATATTTGTTTAAATGACTGCTAAGTTAGTTATAATGTATAAGTTAAACAGCAAGATGGAAATTACATGTCTATCCCACTGATTTCTGTCCGCTTCCCTCCTGTCTGGAGAAAACAGGAGGGGATTTATATGAATATTGCTTATATTTTTGGTTCCGTGTTTGCATTCGGTGGGCACAGCATCATTAGCGGATTTCTTTTTTTTTTATTGAGTGTTGCTCCTCTTGAGCTCTGATCCCATGGCAGCCCTCAAGTTGTTTACTTCCACAAACACGACTCCTCTGCCTAATTTATAGACCTCCAGAGAGGGAGGCCTGCAGGTGGAGAGGGATATAAAAAATATATAATACAGAAGCTCAGGGATATGATTTAGACTCAAATGGGGGGCTAAGGACCATGTGTGAGAAACAAAACCAAAACTGACAGACAAAGTAATACTCTCCAGCCAGATTCAGAAACGCAAACACACTAATTATAAAAGTGGAATGAAAAAATGACAGGCTGTGAGAGAACACATAGAGATCTAAACATCAAATAGAGTTAACAAAATAGTACAATTTAAGAAATCTAATCTTCAGAAAATACCTAAAAAATAAGGCTAAGTGTCTTAATTCATGCTAACCAACTGTGCTTTGAGCTAAATGCTACATAGGCATGCGAACATTCTCAAATGTACAATGCTAACATGCTTTTTCCTAGCAGGAATAATTATTACCATAGTCCTCGTCTTAGTTTAGAGTGTAAGCATGCTAATGGTTGCTTAGCACTAAACAAGTGCATCTAAGGCTGGTAATGTCGGGTTTTGCAGGTATTTGGTTATAATTCCAATAGTCTACATATTGAACTTCTATATGAAAAGTTAAGGGGTCACAACTTTAATTACAACGTTCTTGAAGGGGGCATGAATGTGTGTAGTAAACCGCAATCCACTCAAAAATGACGTCAGCTTCATGGCGGCACCAGTGAGAAAGTCAGGGTATCTCTAAAGTCAGTAGGATTCATCCTCTGGACACCATGAATGTCTGCAAATAGTTGAGATAGCATCAACGTTTGTCAACAGATGTTTTAAAATGTGTCCTTGTTTTGTACTGCATTAAGCAATAACCAACTGAAAAGTTCACCACAGACACAAACAACAGCTCAAGTTGTACTAATGATTGGGAATCTAAGCTTTGAGCTCATCATGCTCGACCCACACATTACAACGCTATCAACTTCAGCGAGGAAAGGCCGCTGCAGCACAAGCCTCTGGAAAAGGCACATTAACTGAAATATTAGCCTATTTGTGGTTCCACTAAAAGTCTGATCAATAGAGAGTGCTCCTCTCAGATCTCCTCTGAGGATAAACACCTGCCAAATTCACAAAAAAGTCTAACCAAAAGGATGGAAAACAGATCTAAATGATATAGGGTGCAGCTTAACTAAAGACTTAATGTTCGGCCATTAGTGTTTTTCCTCAGTTCAGGGCTTCAATTCAGTTTCTAAAAAACAATACTATAAAGACATTTTCTTGAAAGCTGTGGCTAGACATTTCGTCATTATTTGATTTCTTTAATGTTTTCCATCAGCATTTGAATGTTTCTGAATTGTAAAAACTTCTGAAACCGCATTCAAATCATGTAACAGCAAAGCTAATGAAGTTCCTAAAAGATATTCAGCTCTGAAAGCAAAAATAATCCCACAGTGTTAAATGTTTTAATTCAGTTGCTTATCTTGCATGCATTACAAAATCCTATCACTGGTTTATATTATACACTTTAATAATGCTACTTATTTTATATCCTTATGTCACGTATTGTTCCACTGAACCACTGATATGATGCAGCCAAATAAATATTAAATTAAAAAGACCTCCTAACCGGCAAAATGTGCCTCCCTGAATATATTCTTAAGCGTTTAATGAATACCTGTTATTATTGTAAGTTCAATGTTTTGTCAAATAAACGACTTGTGTATATATTATTATATTATTGCAGTTGAATAATTGGTAGTATTATCCTGCTATGACACATGATCCACACTACATTATATTGTAACAAGGCACTGTTACTCTGAGAAGTAAGGTATAGAAAAAGGACAGATGGATAGAGGTAGTCATTATTTTGTAAACTGCCTTCTTCAGGAAAATGCTTTATGATGGAGTAATTGTGATTCAACCAGCTGGGCACAGAGTTAAATGTTGAGCTGAGAGACCTCCAACGTCATTGTGGCTGAATGGATTTTTAGTTTCATTGGCATTATGCTGCCATATTTTACTTCCATTCAGGAAAATACAATATTGGCAAGGCTACAGGGAGAGGCGCAGCTGTTGTATACTTTATGGAGTCGATCTGAATACAAAATATGAGCAAACACTTATTACAAAGACGGCGATGACGCCTCATTTTTTGTCCAGGAGAGCTTAACATTCACACACTCAGGGGGGTGTCTGAGTCCAAATCCTGCAACCTCTGACGCAAGCTGTGTTAAACACACACAGTCCAAGGACAGAGATGACACCTCTATTACCAGCTCCTCACACCTTCAACTAAAATCCTGATTAAAACCTCCTACACTGTTTTTTTCCGATTCATTTAAGATACTATGACCCTGAACATTGTTGCGATTGCTTTTCCTGAATAAAGAACTTGTAAAGGGCAACACACAATGTTCGTCCATCAAGCACAACATAACAAAGTATCTGCAAAGGCTGACAGGGTTATCCAAGACACAGATTGACTGATCAGCTGGGCCAGCTGCTGAGATTATTGATGGATGTTTAAAAGAAAGCTGGATGCAGCTGAAGGCTTTTGGGACCTAATGAGGGGAAACAAAGGGTATTTATGTGTTTGTAGTGGAAGGTAGAATACATCTTTCCTAATGATTCGATGGGAAAAAGTATTTCTAGGCTGTGTGGCATCACAAGATGGATCATAGTAATTCCAGGGTTTGGCTACTATGTACATTTATTACAATTTTCGATAAAATGTACTGGGATAAACTCACTGTGCTATATCCTTACCTCGTATTGAATAAAGAAAATGTATTTTTTAAGCCATCCTAATGGCGTAACTTTAGCACTCACTCAGTCCATCACTTTGGTCCGGACATAAATATCTCGTGAACTGTTGGTTGAGCTGCGAC